TGGCAAACATGAAAGAATTAACTTTTGAAACATCTTTGCAAGGCACAATTCGGGTTGGATTCGCATCTAAAAACTCATAGCCTCACTGAAATAAAAGTTGAACAAAATTACAACAGAAAGAAGTTTTGTCAAATGAGATTGCCAAGAATAAAAACCTAACAGTTTGTCTATCCAATATCCATTATACTTGTAGAGCTTGGAAAGCTCAGCTTAATTGATTGGAGTTGAGTGAGTTGATCAAAGTGAGATTGCCTTTGTTGTTCAAGTATAATATGAAGCAAGTTGATTACTCTGTTATGGACTTGGTGTATAACATGGTTTTGAAAACCGGATCAAACTGGCCAGTTCGATTGGTTGAACCGTCAATCAATCGGGATTCCAGTCCGAATATACCCTCTAAACCGTTCGAAGCTAAAAACCGGCCGATTTAGAGAGAACTGGAAAAACTGACAGTTGAACCGGCGAACCGGTCAACCCGGAGCCGGTTCGCCGGGCTGTCCGGCTCGATTTTTTTTTTTAGTTTTTTTTTCTTTTTTTTCTTATTATATATATATATATATAAAATATAAGAATATAAGAAAATTTTAATTTGAAAATCTTTTTCAAGTGTCTCCTCTGGTGAGGAATCTCATTAAGAGCTTGATGAAATTATTGTGAAAGTCTTCATCTATTTATAAGAAAAAAATTCTTTAAAAAAGACTCAAGAAATCTATGTAGGATTCAATCAAATGTATTGGAGGAAATATTGAAATTTTGATATCCCTCCAAAATTTTTGCTCTCATTTCAATCAAATTATTTGAATTAAAATCATATGGAGGGAATATTAAATATTTGATTTCATCTTCTAAAATTGAAATTAATAATATTTTAAAATATATTATTATATTTTTCAATAAAAAAATATTAGGACAAATATTTAAGATAATTTAATATTTTTAATTTATAATTTTATTAGTTATATTTTATTTAAATATAATTTTAATATATTTATTACGTCACGGTTTGATTTCGGTTCAACCCGAGAGTGTAAAAATCGAAAAAATATAAGTTGGCCTCTTTAGATTTGAGAATAGGTTCTTTTGGTAATTTTTTAATTTTTTGGTTAAAATACGAGGTAAAAAAATTAATATGTTTAAAATGACTTTTTAATTTTTTACGAAAAGATATGAAAAAGTAGAGAGAAAATAAATTTTTTGACTTTTTGGTATAGGTTATAGGCTTTTTAATTTTTTTAATAACTTTTTGACTTTTAAGCTAAAACTCTCGCATGCCAAACAAGACCTAAATAATTTAATTTGATTTTTTTAATGTACAATTTAATTATGATTTTTTAAATAGATGAATCATAATTCACGATTTAATTCATGATTTTATAAATACCAATCTAGTTGAAATCGAAGTGAATTGTTTGTTTTATATTATATATATAATATTTTACGAATGTAAATATTAAAATATTTTATTAATACCAAATATATATGTATATAAATTCTAACTCTTTACAATTAAAACTTTGGGTTGTTTTGAGAAGTTGGTAAAAAATTAGTTTTTGGCTTTTTATCAAATTTTTTGGCTTTTTTATAAATGATTTTGGAAGTTTGTAAAAAGCTAGCTTTTTGTTTTTTAGTTTAATATTTATTTATAGTGTCAAATCAAATTAAAATGACCAAAATACCTTAACCCAACATAAGAGATTTATTTTTTTATTTTTTTTTCATAGGCCCTAATTTGCAATTTTAGGGCTGCATTTTTTGCACTTCTCAAAGGGATTTTATTGCGTTTTTGACAGCTATGTTTTTGAACATTTTGGGGTATTTTGAGAAGTTGGTAAAAAGCTGACTTTTGACTTTTTACCAAGCTTTTTGACTTTTTGGAAAGTGATTTGGAAAGTTGGTAAAAATTTGACTTTTGTTTTTTAATTTAATATTTATTTATGGTGTCGAATCAAATTAAAATGACCAAAATATTTTTACCCAACATAAGAATTTTATTTTTTTATTTTTTTTCATAAGCCATAATTTATAATTTTACATCTGTATTTTTAGCACTTGTCAAACTAATTTTCTGACGTTTTTAACATTTGTATTTTTAAATATTTTGTCTAAAAACATGACTTTTTATTATTTTTTTAAAATGACACTTTATCTGGAAACGTGAATTTTTACTGTGTTTTTAAAATGGCACTTTGTTTGATATCACAATAGGAAGACAAAAAAGTTCGTACTGTTACCTTGTTTGGGCAGGAAGGTTGTGTCTGACAACTCAGACTTTGCATGCGTGACACAAGCAATGACGTCAAACGCAATGTCAAACAAAAATGATTTAGACCTCTAAAAGAAGAGCTCTAATAGAGCATTAATTTGTCTTTTTCTTTTCTCTTTTTTGTCTTTTACTTCACTGTTTCTTTTTTTTCTTTTTTTATTGGTTGACAGGTCATTAGAACTGTCCTTTTACAGCTCTAATTAGAGCTCCGGAGCATGACTCCAATGTCAAACTTTGCATCGCATTTCCCCGCATGCTGCTCACGTGGCACAATGTAAGCCCTAAATTTCATAAAAATAAATAAATCAAAATGCACCGAAAGCTCAACAGTGCTGCTGCATGTGTCAGAAGATTGAACCATAATTTTGATATTTGTTACAATATTTTATTATATAATTTTTTTTTATAAAAAATTAAAAAATTATTTCAAACGTATAATTTTTTTTTCTTTTTATTTTTTTAATTAAAAAGTCAAAAAATACACTTATATAATATATCTCAAATAACCCATAAATATATTTTTACATAGTGTTAGAATTATTTTTAAACAATTATGTAAATAATTTTTAGATTGTTAATAATATTTTATGATAAGAATAATATTTTTAAAGTTCATGTTTTCAATCCGAACCAAACTGTGATTTTAGTGGTTCAATTTGGGTTGATTTCAAAATTTTCATAAATAAGTTTGGGTTCCAATTTGATAGAACCGTAAGTAATAGAGTGATTTTGATTTACGGCTAAGGTCAAGTTTGGCATCCTAAAAAAATTTAAAAAGTTAAAAAGTCAAAAAGTCAATATCCTATTTAAGTCACATCATCTTATTTAACTCACATCACCTCTCTAACACATCACTTCAAACTCAACCTAAATCCAACTCATATTTCATAAAAAGTCAAAAAGTACACTTATTTAGTCTTCCCAAACTTGGCCTAAATCAAACCAATCCAAATCATGTGTGCTCTAATTCCAATGATTAACACACACACACACACACACACACACACACACAAAACTATTTCATAAAACCTCCTTAAAGCAAAATTCATCAAAAAAAAAATGATAAAATTAAATTTTATATTAAAATTGTCAAAAAAGTTTGACAACTATTTTTTTTATTTAAATTTATTTTGGGTGAAAACTTAACTAATTATTAGAGGCAAAATTTTCACAAATCAAAATTAGATATTTCAAAATTATAAAAAAAATTATAATTTATAAAACTCAACAACCAATAACCATAGTTTAGCCATCTTCAAAAAACAAAAAATTAAAAATTCATAATAAGGAAAATTAGTGAAACATCCCTCTCTAACTTTGTGTAATATGAGAGATCTAAAATATTTTTTTTATTAGTTAAGGTCTCTCAATATTTTCACAGAGAAAATTTGATTCAAAATTTTTTTGCTCGACTTAGAGAAATTTCGGCCCCGACTCAAAGAAATTTCAAATTTTTACAGAGAAATTTTAAAATTTCTCTGTAAAATAAAAGAAATTTCTCTGTGAAAATTAAAATTTCTCTCAGTCGAGACAAAATTTTTTTGAGTCGGGACAAAATTTATTTGAGTCGAATTTTATCTGTGAAAATGTTGACGGACCTTAACTATTATGAAAATATTGTATGTCATTCATCTTATAAAATCTTAATATTAGGGATCTTAAAAAAAAAATTCCCTTAATAATATCATAGATCATGACTATTTTAAAATTTGAAATATATAAAATTATAATGTTAATGTGAAAAACATAAAATGATAGAAACGTAAAATATATTACATAGCAATCCAATAAAATTTGATGTAAATAATTAATCAACAATGCTAGAAACTCCAAAATTTTTACTTTTTCCGTCTCAAAATATTAGTCTTACACTGATGGAAAATTCACTTTTAGCGGCGTTTTAAAAACGCCGCTAAAAGTACTAAAAACGTCGCTAATTCTTTTTGTGACGTTTAGTTCCAAACGCCGATGACGCGGCCGTCGCTATAACTTTATGACGTTTGGAAAACGTCGTTATATTAGTATAGGCGGCGTTTTTAAAAACGCCGCCAAATGTCCTACAAACGGAACTATGACGTCATTATGACATTTAGCGACGTTTTTGAAAACGCCATCATAGACATTTATACATTTTAAAAATTTAGCCGTTGGGGTGGGATATAGTGACGTTTTTGAACGCCGCCACAGCCTTTTTTTTTAATTTTTAAGTTCTGTTAATGTTAATTTTATATGATTGAACAAAAAAAATACCTGTCAAACAATTATTAAGAACTAATAATTGATGTTTATTAAAATAATAAATAAACTCAGCTTGAAAACAAAATTAAAAGTAAGAAACAATGCATTGCATACCTAAGAATAGCAACAATTCAAACTTTAAATACATCAATTAAAATCAAAATGGCCTACAAGTGTAATTCGCCCAAAAAAATTAAAAAGGAATAGAAAATATACTAATATGGATTGATCTAATACCCAGTACAGAATTTTAGGGTTTTTATTTTTATTTTTTATACCTAACATCGCTCAACCTAAAATGAAGATAGATCTCACATAAAACAATGGTGGGTCATCTGCGATTGACAAGTCAATTGGCCATTGGTGGTGTGGTTCAGTTGCTATTTTCCCGCTAACCCACCAACTCCACGCCGAAAAAGAGCACAAACACATTGCTCAGTTGGAAAATGTAATGACCTGATTTTTCTCAAATTATCACAACAAAGAAAGCAACGTAATAATATGAACACAAGCAAAATTAAAAGAAAATCTATTATATGTCGGGGCATAATACAATTCAGCCAATTCAATTAAACAAAATGAAACAAGCAACTGTCAAAAACTTTGATATGGGAAATGACTATTGATTTGTCATCTTCACCTTCAAAAATTGAATCATATATCTGAAACACACTTCAGCTGCCCAATCTCCCCGGTGAGATTGATTGACCCCATCATCCATTTTAGCTGAAGTGAGAATGTGTTTCAACCAATAATAATATGAAACACAGACAGGGCAATTCACCGTCTTTTTCTTTTTTTAATGACAGTACAGTTTGATCACTGAATCAGCACCCACAGTGAATAACCATGGTTGCCTAGGGTGGAACTTGCAGTCCATTACTCCTGTAAAAGGCAAAATGAATCAGAGAAGCCACCAAAAATATTATCAACCCAAATATTAGTAAGATACACTCTGGACATTTATATTCAGAGATTTCAGTATCTATATTCACAAGGGTGCATTCTATGTTGCATGTCATATTATTATTTCCACACAAATAGTGTACCTTTTGCGAGTAAAATCAATAGTAGAAGGTGCCAAAAGCAAGGACCTAGGTTATCAGTAGGGAGAGGCTAGGATAAATAAAGCCTAATTGATTAAAAGTGAACTGATATCTATTAACTTTTTCTTAGTATATTACATACTCATCTATTCTGATGAAAGTGAACAGGATAAGAGGATAAAGATGGTTTATTAAACAGCATCAATAAACATTTTAAAGACATTGCACTGTAAAAGTTTACCTGGCTAGACTTTTTATCAAAATCCGAAACGGTGACAAGACTATTGAGATTATCAATTTTCATTTGTTGTTCCCTAATGCATTGATCTCGTGCTTTGTGTGATTTCCTCTCCTCCTCTAGTTCCATAGCAAGTTTCTCACGCTCTAGCTCATACTGATGAATGGACAACAGACAAATAAATGCATGCAATGAACAAATTACAGTAATAGAGCTTACTGTACAATAAAATAGACATAACTCTACAAAATATAAAAGTAAACATATCGATAAAAAACTGCCTTGAGCATGTCATTCCGCAATTTCAAGATCTCTTGCTCTAGCACTTCAGCTCGAGATCCCTGTAAAAGATGTTTACAGCATTAAATTTGTTCTTTGCTTGCCTTAGCATGAAGAAAAAACAGAAATACGATCATTCACCTGAAGTTTGTTACGTAGATCCTCTATCTCTAGTTTTTGTCGCTTCAGAAAGGCAGCATCTGTCAAAATCTACAAAAAAAAAGAAACAAAAAAAAAAATCAACTCCAATTAGCCATACCATTAGATTTGAAAGAAGCAAGGAATCAACTTTAAAATAATAATTATTACTTTAGAAAATATGTTTAGGACTCGTTTGGGAAGGCTCTGTTTTAGTTAAAAAGTCAAAAATTTACTAAATTAGCCAAAAAGCCAACAACTCATACCAAAAAGTCAAAGATTCTCTTTTCTCTCTACTTTTTGCACATCTTTTCGTAAAAAATC